ATATTAGAGACTTGGAGCTTAAGCATGAGAAATTAGTTTATTTATTACTTCTAGCATCAAATATCTTGAGATACTGTCAATTTTGCAAACACTGTTAGCCTTATCAGGCCAAGCAAAATATACCATATGCAGTAAGCCCAAAAAATGGAACAGGGGAAGCAAAGGAAAAAGTGTAGAGAAAGAGTTTTAGTATCATACTAAAGTGCACCACTTGCCACCTCCGCAACAAACTTTTGCATTGCAACAGCAACCAGCCTTGTTCTGCAAAAGTATGCAAGAAATTAAGTTGAAATTTTACCTTTATACATAACATAACAAAAAAGGCAACCTACAACATGTCACATTTAAGGAAAAAATTTAAAGTTGGGAATATGATATTGGAGATTCTAAATCAGATATTAAATTTACATGAGATATGTATTGGAGCTCCTTCAATCGAGCAGTTTTCACAATATCCGTCTAGGGTGGGAGCTCAATCTGTTTACAAGGACAACGGAAGAGAAGGCCACATATTAGCAAAGCACCACAATCCAACATGTGCAATAGACATTATATAATTGTATACTAATAATAGTTATGAAAACATAGCACAGAATGCTCCTACTTTGTAAGTTGTAAACCTTTTGCTACCTCCCCCAACACACACAAAACCTCAGCTTCTTCCCCAATATTAAACTTTTTTTCAGGATTAGAATAAAAAAATTTGTTAACTAAAGCCACATCTATGTAGCGGGCAGTGACCTAAATCCCTAGTTCAGAACATCTGACGTCTTCACTAGCAAAAAATTTACAGAAGCACAACAATTTCCCTGAGATGTTCCTGATGTAGTAAGCCAGAGGAACAAGAACTAATCAAGTCAGATTTATTTGCAACATGGTGTTGAACGTCACCAGACAAAGCTAATCAAAATGAATCAAGAGCACATAAATCAGAAAGAGAACTAAAAGAAACAGACTCGCTTCCGCTATCCCTTATTCTCCACCATTTTCCCAGAATCCAAACAGGACTGAGGCAATCAAATGCAGGAGCAACACGTACCTTCAATTTCTTCAAAGGAAACGCAAGCCACAAAAAGAAGTCCACAGCCAACAAATTTTTAAGCTACACTAATCTGTAATCAACCAAAAATACTGGGTTTAAGCGCAAAACTGCTGGGTTTTGAATACAAAAGATTGGGAAACTACCCATGACTAGAAAGAAGGTGAAGCTCCAATACATATCCAATGATTCTGCAAGGAAAGCCTCCTTCAAGATTAGAAAGAAGGGTCTCATGAAGAAGGCAAGTGAACTCACCACCCTATGCGGGATTGATGCATGTGCGATTGTCTATAGCCCATATGACTCTCAACCGGAGATCTGGCCTTCCCCCGCTAGAGTCCAGCGTGTCTTGTCCCCCGGTTCAAGAAGCTGC